AATTGCCAGCATCACTTTAGTAATGCACTTAGGGCTCGTTATGAAGAATAATAAGGGTTCCCTGAACACAAGCACCACAGTACTGTGATAGTCTGTCTTATGACTGAGATGGCCACCAGTGACTAATAGTTGGGTAGCATATACCAAGTGGAAATGCTGGGCAAGGAGTGATTCATGTCCGAGGCAGGATGGAGTGCAACAGTGTAAGATTTCATCACACTGCTCAGCATGGCATGCAACTTAAAACTTATGAATTGTATGTTTCTGGAATTTTCCATTTAATATTTTCAGACCACGGTTGACCATGGCTAAATGAAACCACAGAAAGAAAAACCACAGAGGGATTACTATATAATAAAAAGCTTCAAACAACCGTGGATTTAATATTTTATTATGTTTTTATTTCTTGTAAGAGGAAGGACTCTGGTAAAGAGCACAGGTTTAGCATCAGGCTCATTCTTTCTGCCTCACCATCAATAGCACTTGGCTTCTAGTCAGGTTTGCTTCATGGTTCGTCACTATTGCTGGGGTATAACCATCACATCTGCAATCCAGGCAGTAGGAATGAGGAAGAGGAAAAGGGCATTTCTTCCTGCTGAATCATGTCTCTTTAAAGGAACTTCCTAGAAGCCCCCAGCCACTTAGTTCTTGACCACTATTAGCAGTGAGAAAGGCAAGGAAATGCCATCTTTTAACTGTGCATATTCATGACTCTAAATAAAATTAGATTTTTGTTATCATGGAAGAAGAGATGACTGTTGGGGAGCAAACCAGTAGTCTGTGCTATTGAGTGAACCAGACAGACCACAGCTAAAACAAAATAAAAATACTATACTGCCTCTTGAACTTAGGTAATCAGCACACTAGTGGGAATGTTTATGTACAGATGCCAAAGTAGGGGCGCCAGGTGTACTCTAGGAGAAAATCAGACTGTTAATCTTTTATAAAGCCTTCTGGGGTAGTTAGTATTCATGATCTTGGTAGATTTACCAAGCTTCAGTATTTAACTTTCATTACTGTAGGAACTGAAACTTGATGTTTTCAGCCTATTGAAAGTGGAATTGTATCTCAAAAAAGAAACTCAAATTACCCCAACCTAAAGGTAAAATCATAAATGAAGAAAATCAAAGTGTTTATTAATTTGCAATGAGAAATAACTGTTGCAGGGAGCCAAATGCTTATCAAAGTTTGCCTGGGGAGCCTTGAATCAGAAAAAAGGCAGATAAGGTGGCCGAGTATAGAATCAGGTTAAAACAGATTGCTGGGGCTTGACCTGTCCCTCTCTCCTCCAGCAGGACTTGCTGGTCCATGGCCTATGCTGACTCCTTTTGCAGGCACCCATATTATGCTCCTCCCTCTGAGTGGGAGACTTGTTCACCTTCAAGCAAATGACAGTGTGGCTCGCAGGCGTGTAAGACCCCAGGGCTCTTCAGAGTGGTTTTGTGCATCTCTGCCTGTCCCAGTCTGCAGGGAGTCCAAATTATAACTCTCAGAGGGCAATTTTATTCTGAGTTCTCAGGAGAAGCTGTAGTGTAGACCCATATGCTGACTCTAACAGGCCATTACACAACATGTATGGTTAAAACCAGAAAACCAATGTGATCCTTTCCTGGGAGAGATAAGAGGTGATGAGGAGTGTTCTGCCAGATGTCCCCAAAAGTTTACAGTTTCCCAAGATTACTGAGACGCCTCTGAGAAGCCACTTCCATGCTGCCTGATGAATTATTTTGTACCAAGTGTCTCCTGACTGACAGTTGGGTTCCTTCATTCTTGAGTGATTTAGCCCTGCGTTTAGACTTTTTCACACATTGACTTCCTGTTGACACAACAGGATTGACTGTTGATTTCTTCAGTCTTTTTTTTTTTGCTAAGTCATGATACCAATTTCTGACCCAAGCTGGGCTCTTTCTCCCTCTGGGAATCTCAGCTCCAATTAAAAAACCAAGAACTGATTAAGCAGTGAAGGCAAGTTTATTCTTTAGCCAAAGAATGAGGAGAAGTTGTGGGGAAGAGTTCATGGATCAGCTTCTCTTCTGAAGAAAGGGTGAGGGAAAACGTGGGATGACTCAGAATGACAACAGCAAAACATTTTTACCTAAATCTTTGAGCGATTTGAACATTTGAGTATTATCTCCAGTTTGACTCTCAACTTCTTTTTGAGGCTACATACAATCACATAACCTCTCAAAGACAAACCTCCCCAAGTTAAAATACTATATTCTTTTAGGCTGTGTTGGGGAGATACTGGTATGTTTAACAAAAGAATGAGGAATGCTTTTCAGTTGTAGACACCATCATTAGCTATTTGTCAAAATACACTATTTACCCTCCAATATCGGAGTTGCCAGGTTGGCCATAGCTTGTTGTCTAGTCTAGTTTTACTATTGGGTATTAACAGCATGGAGTCTAAAGTCAAAATACAACAACCAGGTTTTAGTGGCAACTTTTCAGGATACTCATTAGCTGGGTCAAGGACAATTTCAATAGTCCTTTTGGTTATAGATTTATGATGATATGCTTCACAGACTCAAAATTTAGAGGAAATAGATACAGAATTATTTTTTTTTCAGTAGTGAAGTCAGGATCTACGATTTTTCATTCTCTTTCCTTGTAGAATTCAGTCTGGGCTTTAATAATCAGTATTTTTCATAACTGGTAGTTTTAGCGAATCTAAGTTACATGAGATGGAATATTTAAAGAAATGTCTTTCCCTTCTTTATTATCAAAGCAGTTCCATAATTTTAGTTAGTTTACTTTTTTTTACCCAGTGCTTCCTCTTCAGAAGATGTCCATAGTGCATAGTAGGTTAATGATTTCTTAGAATTATGACAAAAAATAAACAAACGAAAACATCCATTTTGGGGACAATCACCTGTCAGGACTGGGTGGCTATGGCTCCCATTGCTGGCCTATAGGTGAAAGAAATGATTGCCATGTTTTGTACAAACATCCTTTGTACATCAAGGAATGCAGAGACTGTATCAAAGCTTACTTGAGTATGTAGACAGAGCTACAGGCTTCCCCAAGGAGTTCCATATCACAGACTGGCCTGGAGCAAAATGGGCCTGTGGCAAAATAACTGAGTGAGTTACCATCTGGACTGTCTTTGAACTGGGTTCCCCCTGACCCTTCTAGGTTCATTACTCCTCAAGTTCCCAACCATTCAGGCTGTGATAATGTGCTTCCCTCTCAGCACTGTGCACAGATTAACTGGGAGAGAGTACCACATAGCCCTGAAACATGTATCCAACGACATGAAGACTTACAAGAATCCAGCCCTGAAGGCTCAGAGTGGTCCAGTGTGCAGTGGCCTCAAACCATTCTCTGCACTTAAACCTCAAACCAGCCCATTCCCCAAGCCAGCCACAAAGAAGGAGGCCGATTGTACTTGAACTGAAGGGCAAGAAGTGGGGAGTGGGGAGTTAAAAATACCTGAACTGGGGGAAGAGGGTGTGTCAGTGTGTGCTTCACAATAAGAATCCTGTGGTATTTCTTTAACAGGAAAATCAGGAGAAAAAAAAAAAGCATCCATTTCTATACACATGTAAGAGAACTTGATGATGTCACCTGGAAAAAAGCAAATTAAACTCCTAAAATCCAAACTAAACATAGAGGCTAAGATGAATCTTTTGGCTTTGTTGAATTGGAGAAACCTCCTGATCCCCATCAGAGACCTCCTCCCAAATTAGAAATTGTTATTAACTTAATTGCAGCATAATGACAGCCCCAACACAGCTGAGACCCTCCAGTAACTTGCACTTCAGTCTTAAATCATCACTTCACAGTGGGATTTATATAAAAAGTCCCTCGACACTTATTATCTTATTGTAAGATGTTACTAAGGATGCTCATTATTACTGTCTTTCAGATTTTCCAATTTATCAGAATCAACTGAATTAATTTTAAGCAATGCAGACTTTCAGGACTGTCTCACTTATTCAATCTTAATTTCTGAGCAAGAGGTCTATACAGATTGTATTGTAAATAATCTCAGGTTTTTAGAACTAATGCAGTTGGTAAGGGCCTGAAAAACATGGTAGAGTGTCCTTTTTTAAAATTTATTTTTTAGTATTTTTAAAATGACACCAAAAATTGTACTTATTTACGGGATCCCACACATTGTCACAGTGTCCTTCTTAAGAGGAGTGTGGAAGAAAGTTAGTTTCGGTTCTTGAACCAGTGGTCCTACATCTGAGTAGACAATTTATTTGTAGTTTCTGGATGCCACAATTCATATAATTGCTTGTGTTGGTCCTTCTGCCTTGGCCCAAGCATTGAGCCAAATATGAATCCTGCAAGCAAATGTTTAGGAAGAAACTCTTTGCATTCTGGATGCCTTAGGGCACTCCTGCTTTTCTCTGCTCTTTCTTACTCTCATTTCCCTTTGCCCCCAAATCTTTTACCAATTTATTTTTAATTCTGTATTTTTTTATTGCAGATATTTTTGTACATTGCATTAAAACTCTTTCTGAAGCTAAATGTGAATGAAAATAATTACTATATTACTATCCAAATATTTGCATAGATCTTGATGGTTCTTTTTGAGTTGGGTGTTTGTATTTCTGCTTATTATTTTAAAAATGCTACTTAGGATAACCAAACTTAGAGTAGAATGGTGGTTGCCAGAGACCAAAGGGCTGGGAAAATGGGGAGTTGTTATTCACCTGATATAAAGTTTCAGTTTTATAAGATGAGTAAATTCTACAGACTCATTGTACATGACTGTGCCTGTAGGTAATACTACTGTGTTGTGCACTTAAACATTTGTTAAAAGGGTAGATCTCACGTTAGATGTTCTGATCATTAAAACCACCTGAATAACTTGTATGATTCAGCAGATATTACAATGTAAACCCGGTAGAAGGTGATGCCATTACTGTCTTGTTTAGTCACTTTATTATCCTTTGGGGAGTGTGGGTAGAAGAAGAGTGGATATTACTTCGTGTCCATACAAGACAAACAGAAAGTTTTCTAAATTTTATTTAGAATGAAATCAGCATGATAAAAATGCATCAGTGACATGTGAAAAAGAACTTGGTTCCTTAACAAAATAAATTTCCAGGGTACAGAAATTTATCCCAACTATGTTCTGCTTCACCTATATCCAACTACATCTGTAAGCATATCATTGAAAAAAGAAGTAACTGGCAGATCCAAGAAAATCATTTGCCATCTTAATGTGTGCAAGATGGGCCAAGCTTACTTTTGATCCAAGTTTGGTATTTTTTGGTTAATAGGATGTAGACTCCAGGCTTCTTGGCAACACCACATTTATGACCCCCAGAGACTATGGCATGGAAGACACCTTTGCAGACCAAGGGGCCACCTGAGTCGCCCTGGGAAGGAGAAATGGGCACATATTTAGTGTATCACCAACTGCTCAAGGTGTTATCTGTGTTTTTGGTTTCTTTGTGACCTGAAGGGTATACGACACAACCTCTTACTTAGTGTAGGTTCTTTATGTCTCTGTCTGTCTAGGACCATGCTTCTGTCTGTCTGTCTGTCTGTCTCTCTGTTTCTGTGTCTCTATGACTATGACTTTTACCTTATCTCTGTCTAGCCCATTTTATGTCTCGTCTATCTACATCTAGGTCTATGTCTACACCCATTCCTTTAGTGATCAGTGACTACTGAGCCTTATTTGTTAAAGAACAGGTAGACATAAAGTCTGAAATTATCCACTGAAATAAAAAAAATTTCCAAATTGTAAATTTCATTTTGGTACTAATGGACCTGAAATCAAGTTGTCATTGAGACCAGTAGAAAAGAAGAATATAGTGTAGGAAATGTCTTGATGGCAGGGACTGTGTTTTCTTTCTTATTTTTTTCTCTTTTCTTTGAACACACATATGGTAGAACATAATGCTATGTATGTACCACAGTTAATAAGCACTTGCTGAATGAGATGACTTTTTTTTTTTGGGGGGAGCCCTCTAACAACAAAAGATATAACTAAATTCTGTCAGGAAAAGTGAACAAGTTATAGAGGAAATTGTGTGGCCTTTCAGACAAAGAGGTGGTCTTGAAATGTGAAGACCAGTCTTTGCCTCTGCCACCAGCCATCCTGTAAACTTCAGGACTTTGTCTGCCAGTCATCCATGATGATAGGGTCAGAAGGATGGTAGTCTTGGGGCACCACAGATTCACACCTCTGAAGTCATCATACTCCTCCACCCAATAATGCTTAATATAATGGGACGTGAATAGTGTACTCTAATTAAAAAATACTAATCCACTTGTGCTACATTTTAGCCACCTATAAAAGATGAGGATTTTTTTCTTATTATCTCTAGGAACAAATAGTTTTGAAAAATATAATAGCTATTGCTCCATTTTGTCAGTGTTATGGTCTGAATGTTCCCTGCTCTCAAATTCATACGTAAAATCTTCACCCTCAAGGTGATGGTAGTGGGAGGTAGAGCCTTTAGGATATGGTTAGGTTTTGGAGGAAGATCCCTCATGAATGTGATTCGGACCCTTATAGAAGAGGCCTGAGAGACCCTTCACCCCTTCCTCCATGGAAGGGTAGAGTGAAGAGAGGTCATCTATGAAGTAGAAAGCAGCCCTCATGAGATAACAAATCTGCTGGCACCTTGACCTGGACTTCCTAGTCCCCAGAACTGAGAAAAATAAATTTCTGTTGTTATAAGCCACATAGTTTATAGTATTTTGTTATAGAAGCCCAAATAGACTAAGATAGTCAACATTATTTAAGAAACACATGGTGTGTATTTGAGCTTTTGCATTTGAATCTTGGAAGACCCCTCTCTTGATTAATTTAAAGATGGTTCTTTTTTGGGTAAGTTATCCTCCATAGTGACTTCAGGGTTGGCAGATTTTCTAAGGACGGTAACCTCATGGAAAGTCTGTAAAAGTAGTTAGATATAATCTATTATCCTGACTAACAATCATTGAATGAGTGCTTATGAAGCATTGGGGGAAGGTCTTCACATTGGTAGATGGAAAAGAATAGAGGGCCCTGTGCAGGATTGAAGAGTTTTAGAATTGTGGCTTCCTGTTCTCCAGGCCCCATATCTTCAGTGTCAGTGAACAAATAGAGAACTGCATTTACTACAGTTCAGACTCCTGTCTGAATGAAGCCTCTTACCTGGCAGGAATCCTTCTGGCCTCTGGCATCTCCTGCACATATCATGTCTTTGGTTATAACAGGGTTGTGGTTGTAATAGCTATGGCTGTTGCAAACTTTTCGACTTATGACAGTAACAGTGACTTCTTGCAGGGTGTCAGAGTTGGTTGGTAAAGCTGTGTCAGTGGCTCCCCAGCCAGTAACCTGGCATTTGGTTCCATCTCTAAGGTAGTTTTTAGATCTCAGTTGGAGCAGTTGGACTTGCTTGTTGAGTTTGGCGGCTGTGTGAAGCTGACAGATTGAAAACAAGTAAATTATCCTTTCCAGTAGCATTCTGTTTTGCACTGTGCATTGTCTGTGTGCGGTCCCTGCCTTCTGAGGGCATCCCTTGCTCTTGAGTCTACTTTGATGGTGGCCTGCAGCTGTACTTGTGACTGTTGCTTTTCTGAACGTGCTCTCCGTTCTCTGGGGAGCTCACTGATGCTTGGGGGAGGAATCATATATGGAGCAGGAATCTGCCCAGTCTCCAGCAAACTGGCCTTTGCCCTGAATTGGATGGTTTTCTGTGGAATGACATCCATAGGTCATGACTTTGAGGGCTGGGCTGTTTCCTGCTGGATAAGACCCTTGAGTATGGTCTAGACTGTGTTTGGAATAGACAAAGTATGGTCTAGACTAAGTTGTAACTCACTTGTGAGTCCCTGAAGTCACTTGGTTGGCTCTGTTGTATAAACAGCCATTGCATTTTTCACTTGCTAATGAGAAAAGCATTTGGGAACAAAGCTTTGAATGTGGATCCTTGGGCCTATTGGGATGTTCTCCCCCACGTATGTAAGCATCGGAATTGATTTCCTTGTATAAACATATCCCTGATGCATTTGTGCTAATTTTTTGTTTCCAGGCAGTACATGGAGTAACAATGGGCCTTTACAGAATGTATCAAAATAATCTCAAACAAAATGGGCTCAGGCAGTTGATTTAACTAACTGAACCATGTTGGAGAAAATGAAGGCAATGCTACATACCTTTATCAGCATGATATCATCTAATCTAGAATCTGGTAGAAGTCTTGAGAATGGTATGAATTTTTTAATCTCAAATGTTTGTTTGGAGGGCTCATTTTTTGAGAGGGAATGTGCTCCTAAAACCACTGCGTGAGACTGGTCTTTAGCAAGCCTAAAAGAAGCAAAGAGAATGGAAGGAACACAATGATTTCCAAATCCTCCTTTGGAGAGCAGAGATGGTGGAGAATCAAAAACATACAAAGACAAATTCCAAGGTCACCTGTTTAAGATTAGGTGGACTGACAGAGGTGTCAGTGGATTACATCCTGAATTAATAACCTAAGGGCCAAATGATTGCCCTCAACGCTACCCCAGCCCAATTCTCAGCATTGCAAAAGATTATCAGAATTTGCCAGGCATTGTAGCTCAAGACTATAATGTTAGATACCTGGGAGGTGGAGACTGGAAGGATCGCAGTTCAAGGCTATCCAGGCAAAAAATTTCGTAAGACCACATCTCAACCAATAGAAGCAGACATGGTAGCATGCGCCTTTCATCCCACCTCCAAGAAAAGTATGAATAGAAAGATCGAGGTCCAGGTTGGTCAAGTATAAAGTGAAACCCTATCTCAAAAATAACAAAGCAAGAAGGACTGGGGTCATAGTTCATAAGGTAGAGCATTTGCCGAGCAAGTGCAAGGTCCTGAGTTCAATCCTCAATACCACCAAAAAAATATTGTGAATTTATACGTGATTGTAACAGAAAGGGGGCAAAATCCTAATTGACTTAGATGAAGTATACAACAACGTTGTGTTCATTTACATAAAAATAAGGGAAATTATATTTCTTAGGTTGTGGTTTGAGATTTATACTAACTACCATTAGGGATACTTTTATTGTGGTAAAATATATGCATTTATGGAAATGTCACGTCAAACCCCCTTACTATGTAGAATTTAATATTTACCACTAAAAAAGAAATAAGAAAAAATATGTAACTATTCTATTTAACCATTTAAGTGTACATTTTGGTGTCACTAAGTGTATTTATACTGTTGTTTATCCGTCACTATCATTCATCTCCAGAACTTTTTTTGTCTTTTCCATATAAACAACTAAAATAGACTCAATTCTTCATTTGCTCATCTGCATGTCAAGATCTCATATCAGACAATGCGGACCTGTTACAAGGCAGTTAGATGGGCTCAAAAGTTCTGTTCCTTCAATTAGAAATAGGATTTGGACAAGACAGGAAAACTTTCCTCAAAGTGTGAATATATGCCAGTTTGAAGTGAAGATACACTGAGAGTTTCACTGTAGAGACTTATAGGGTACAAATTGAGTAGTCAGGTAAAGAAACAGATTTTTTTTTTATCCTTGGCTCTAGTACCAGTGCTTCATAATGCCACAACTGATCTGATTTTCTGTAGGTTTTATAAAATTGCATTTATAGCCAATGATGAAAACAGTAATGATTTGTTTTAGATATTTTGACAGCATATTGGAGCCATTGTATATTACAAATATATCCCATTCAAATGTATGTCTTTGTGGAAGTTACCTCAAATCCTTTCTCAGAGCAAGGAAGGTTGTAAAAATAATTACATTCATTCATTTATGTATTCTTTGCTACTTGAAAAGGTAATCAAGGCAGAATACAGTGACAATATACATACTCCAGTATACAGATTAATAAAGATTCTTAAAAATTAAGAAGGGCACAGAAACGTGCAGAAAATGGGAGAAATGATTGTTTCAGGTTTGGAGAATGTGCACACAGCTGCAGTGGGAAGGGTTAGCACATGGCAGACCTGTGGCTGCCTGGAATTACCACTTCTTGGTTTCTATCAAAAGAGTTTATTTTGGGAATTCCAACTCTATTTGTTGAAAACTTTCCCTATTGCAAAATCAAAATGGGGATGAAATTTCTCAAAGGATGTGGATTGGATTTCTTAGGACTGACTCAAATTCAAATTCAACATACCGACTAACCCCAAATCTTTGGAGGTAAGGGTGATATAAAACCACAGGATTAACACACCAACAGAAAAGTGGGTGTGCGTGTAAACAACTCACATAGGAGGAGTGTGAGTGCAAATGTGGGGTGTGGAAGGTGGATTTTGATGAGGGAGGGGTGCTGAGAAATTTCTAACTGTCTTTCATCTTTTACTCATTTCCTTAAGTAGCAAATTGCTTTCTGAATTTTCACTTTCTAGATATCCTTCAACTGTAATCTGTCCTACCAAGGTTGATTTTTTTTCTGCCCAGGGGATATGTGGAATTACCTGTGTTCTAGGATTCCACCTCTCTAGCTAAACCTAGACATGAATTCGCATAGAGGGGAAGTAATAATAGCAGTGTCATTCATCTGCACAGCGCAGGGATTCTCGAAGTTCCACCTTGGAACTTCCGAGTTCCAAGGTCTTCCGAGTTCCACCTTGATCTTACTTGGAAGGGAATTACATATAGAACAGAGCCAGAATATTGCTTATGATAAATTCTTTTCATTGTCTGCTGAAGATGGCTATAACACTGTCTCAACTGAGCCTTCTAAGTGCTAAAGCTGATGGGGTGTGTATTTCACATGAGTAAAAGGGTATTCTCTGGTCCAAGATGACACAGCTTATACATTGGGGATTCAGTACCCAAATCCAGTATTTGTGATTTCAAGTACTCTTTCCTTGATTCTTCTTTTAGCCCTCTATCAAGCCCCTCTAAGCATCTTATTCCTTGGCCAGCCCATCTTGATGCTGAGCTTAGATCCACTCCTGAGGTCTGGCAGCAAAGGCAGTTTTCTATTTCTTGGAGGTCTCTCTTGCCATAGAGGAAGGAACTGGCTAGTAGAGAGGCAGGTGTTTCCAGTCCCATCCCATCAATACAAGTGGACCATCAGATTAGTCCCTCAGTTATTACCATGGAAGACACAGATAACAATCTAACAATACTTGATAACATGAATTAAGGTCTTGTGTTCTGTGTAAACATTTTACACATTCCCCTCCCTCCCCCTGCCCCACCCTCACTCCTCACAATCCAGTGGGATAGGTATTACAATCCTCATTTTACACATGAAGAAGCTGAGATTCAGGTACATTAACAAACCTGGAATGTCACATGAATTCTAGGTGGAAGCCCCAGGATGCATATGTAGGCAGGGCTAGAGCTTAGTTGGCCTGAAGGTTTAATTGCTTTACTGAGGGAGTATGTGAGATGGAGTAAGGCTGTGTGCTAGGCAGGTGACAGGGGTGGACGTGCTTCAATGAGAGGGTGCTTTGGAGGGTGCCTAAGAGGACTGTGAACAGCAGCTGGTGAGAGTTTTGCTTCTGATTAGTTAAAATTCTGAAAATGAGATTATGAAGGATGGTTTTACTCATTTCTTTCCTTCCTTCCTTCCTTCTTACTTACTTTTTTTTTTTAGGATAGGGTCTCACTACATAGCCCGGGCTGGCCTTGAACTTGCCATCCTTCTGCCTCAGTCTCCTGAGTCCTGGGATGACATGGCCCTAACATGCCCAGCACCCATTTCCTTTTATATTCAACGGGGCAAATAATAAATGGGTCACGGCACTGAAGAAGGAACCGAGTTGATGGCGGCAGAAAAGGAGCACTCCCAGATTTGGCCCACTTCACCACAGTACTGAGAGAGAGGCCTGGGGTTAGCAAACTATTCCCTTGGGACATTTGTGAGTACATTTGTGGGAAGCTACCATTGAACTGTTTTATAAATATTTTGAATTTCTTAAGGCTTAATATTTTTCCAAGCACTGATCTGCCTACATTTTTACACCCAAATGTCCTGTAAAGGAAATTTGATCTACATATTTTGGAGTTCTTTATAAACCAGCCATTTAAACTGATATTTAGCAATAGTGTTTTTTTTAAACTCCAAGTTCAGTCTTTTAAAAAATAATTTCTTTCCTCCAATTTGGAAATCCATTTTTCTTGAATTAAGTGGACTTGACAAAATTTAAAATTTAGTGTTATTTATCTTCCTATAGCACTTTATGATTTGTGAGAGACTTTATGCACATGCTTTAGGCTTAGTTAAAAAAAAATAAAACCTTCAATTTGTTTCCTTCTTTCCATTCAGCATTTGTCAGACATGTGTCAGTGAAGCTGTCTGGAGAGTTATAGTCCATTTAAAAAATGTACAATATTTGAACACTCTCATATTTTTCACTGAATGAAAATTTCAAGTGTCATTGAGAAAAGGATGGTGGTGATGGGAAAGCAGGGGTGGTTAAATGAAGTAACCATATGAAATTGAAAATCAGTAGCTTGCTGGCTAGAAATAAAACAGATGCCCTTCTTATCTGCAAAACTTTCAATGTGTGTTTGAATGATTCCATTAAAATGAGCAATCAGAAAACATCCCCCAAGCATGGAGAAGCAAGTTAGTTCAATTGTGCTATTTAGACACAGCTGACACCGCGATAGCTGGCTAAGATAGTTCTTAAGGGAGGTGCTGTAATGGACAAAGCTCCATCTCAGTCTGTTCAGGCAGGCAACACAGAAACAAAACCCCAGAAAACAAAAAGAACAACAAATATCAAATTAGCTTTCTTCTACTTTTCCTCTTGAAGTGGTCATAGCAACCAAGATGGGTTTTATACTTCATTAGCTGAAGCAAGAGATTCCCAGGTTGAAATAGACTTTGGGAGGTTGTGCTCCATGTTCTGCGAAGCTCTCATTCTAAGCGTCTCCCCAAATGGACTCACTCTCTTTCTCTTTTTACAATTCCTCTATACATTTTTCCCTCTACCTGGAAAAGTAGTTGTACCTTAGGGCTGGGTTTCCCAAACTGTAGGCCTCAGATATATGTATCTGAGGTAAATTATGGAGCAGAAGAACTAAAGGGTTTGAAAACCTGTTGGAAAAGCAGGCTTCTCATACATATCCTAATAATATTGGCTGCAATGCAAATGCATTGTACTTATTAAATGCATCAAGCATGTTAATGTAGTTAAATAGATACTACTTAATTCTCAAAAACCTTCTGAGGCTTCAGTTACTTGTGATCACCTGCTGTTGAAAGTCCTAAATGGAAAATTCTAGAAATAACAATTCTCAAGTTTTAAATAACTATCATTATAGAATATTGCTATAATCATTCTGTTTTCTTATTGTTAATTTCTTACTGTGTCTAATTTATAAATTGAACTTTATCCAAGGTTATGTATGTACAGGAAAAACATGTACATAGAAAAGTGACAGGGACTCACCGAGGATGGCAGTGGGCTGCTGTCACACCCACTGTGGGTGAATCAGAACTCCGCCACAAACGTGTTTGCCATTGTACTGGATGGAAGCCATAAATGGCCTGGAGTGAGGCTGCACTTGTCTGCCTCCAATAATTTCCATGTTGAAACCTAGAAAAGTGAACCCAAAGATTTCATATAGAAGATTCAGATACATGTAACTCTTCTGATGACAGTCGTTGTATTATTTTCAAAGATTAAAAGCAACAACCCTACCTAATAGCCATTATAATTTTTCTGATCAATGATTGTATAAGATGCAATGACCGAGAGGAATAGAAATAGTTGTGAAACCCTGTGTGTGTACAATGTAACACCATATCACTAGAAATTCACCAACGTTCCCAGGTGGTAGGAATAAGGAGATACTTACACTCTTGAGTCATATAAGCCCCAGCCATGAGGAAAAACAGAGAAAAAGAAGAGAATTCCGTCATTTTCATGACCTACAGTTAGAACCTCAGATGAAATACTTTGACTAGATTGATGAGGAAGGAGATTCTGAAGAAGTTATTTTGTTCTTGCAGGTTTTAACTTTCTCACCCCAAGTGCTGTAGAGGTAAAAATTTTCACACCTAAGTTTTAAAAGTGTATATCAGCTTGGGGAGTTTCAAGTCTGTACTTTAAGTGTTTTTTTTTTTTTTTTGGTTTCCTTTAAAGGAGGTGCGTGTGTGCATAATAAAGAACTCATTTCTGGAGACCACCATTTCCAGTATCTGTATAAAAGTACTCTGTGGTGAAAGAATACAAAATATCCAAGCTGTAAGAAACTAATGAGATTGCAGACAGAGTTCAAAGATGTTCACTTCTCTAAAGCATAAAAATACTTTATATTTTTTCTGGCACAACATGGTGCCTATCATATTTAATTCCCCTCTATTTTTCATTTGGATACAGATTTTTGATGGAGGCATGGCATCACGCACAGGTCATATTTGCGTTACAAGGTGGCTTCTAAAGCCTGAATGCCATCCAGAGAAATCCATATTTTTCAATGTGCTTGCATTTTGATTGTGACCTCCTGCCACATGAGGTCAGATGTGGAATTTTCTTTTCTCTCTCTTGTTAATTAGCATATATTAATTATGCAAGATAATGTAAAGTGGTATGTTTTGCAGCAAACTTATTCCTATTCCTGACATTTCCTCCAAATGTGACCAAATTTGGTTACATTTTTAGGAAATTTAATGTTATTTAAGGGGAACATTGGCAATGTATTTTTGATTCAGAGTGTCCCTTTTGCTCATTTTTAATTGAAAATTACCATATGTTTCTCCAGGGCCTTAAGATAATATCTTTTAAAAATCAAGGACAATATTTCATCATTTTTCCCAGGAACAGACGCCAACGTATTTCCAGGCCTTCTAAAGTACTTTCCTTCATGACAAAAGGATTAGGTTTAGGGTGTACAAGTGTGAGCTCTGATCAACAGTGCAAGCATTGTAAAATGAATACAAAGAAATACATCAGGCACTAGAACCCTAATACTATCTAGAAACACTGATCAAAATTTACATTGCATTAGTAGATCTTTGTTTTTTCTAAGATAAATGCAATGTCTTCCATTTTTTTAAATAAAGAATAATTAAAATCCAAGGCTATTATGGTTGGCAGGTGACAAGGCACTACTACCAAATTGAAGTTTTCATAGACAAGAAAGTAAGAATAATAAATAATATTATATATTATAATGTAATGATACATAAGTATCTTAAATCGTTTCCAAAATTCTCTTAAACATGAGTATTTGTATCTTCATGTCTATGTCTTTGAGGAAGGCACATATTATATTTATGTTACAACTGAAGAAGTAAGCTCAGAGAGGCTGATTTGCCCAAGGCCACATGGCATCTGACCTGGACCAAATCCCTTGCTTGTATGTTAATAAATACACTGCCAGTGGCCTGTTTTCATTTCACAGGGATGCAGCAACATTTTAAAATCTTCACCAGAATGAACAAAGCCAACACAACAGTGACTTCCTGCCAGGGAGAGCAAAAGGTGAGACAGAGGGAAGCCAGGTTAAGAAAAGTCACAAACTTGCTAAACCAAACTTGTTAGTTCCATCGAAATGTCTCTGAGTTTTCAAGCTATCTGTGTCACTGTGGATGTGCCTTGATGGATCCCTCATGTACCACTTTTTGTCAGGTGGACATGATAATGCCACTTCCTGACTGTAACCGGTGGTGTTGAGATCACAAGAAAGATGTAGAAGTGGTTTGAAATACAAGGAAGAAATAAACTGTGTAGAAGATGAAAGCTTTAAGGTGGGGCATGTTAAAATATCTCAGTTGCCTATTTCTTTATGACAAAGACTAAGAGCCACATAGTTTTTTACAGATGGTTAAACATTTCCAGCTGCATTTATGGGGAGGTGGCTGCCACTAGTCTTGCTTTGTGGATGAAGAAAATGAAGCTCAGAGAATGTTTTGAGATTATCCAGCTAGCAGGTGGCCCTAAAAACCTTAGATGCTGACTGGGGCCTCCATGTTCCTTTCAACCTGACCACATGCCTGACCTGCTCTGAGAAGTCCCTGGGGCTTAAATGTTCCAAGAGGCAAGTTGGCTGTGCAGAAAGGAAAGAGACTTAGTTCTGCACACTGCAATTAGCCATGGGTGATATTTAGTTCAATTGAGAAGACTGCCTCATAACTCTTTCTTATAGTCGACCTGGAAAATTCTGAGAATGGTTTTGGTTTATCGTAATGAGTTACGTAGTTTTGACTTTAGATGGATGAGCTAGTTAATAGTATCATTTTTTATCATGTTCAGGATCCTGGATCTGAAGACAGTGGGCTGTGTAACATGAAAAGCATGGCAATCTAATTTATTTGTGGGTGTGGGGTTTTGCTCTGTTGAGTCTGCTGCAGGGAGAGCTGTGTTTGCTTTGGATGGAGTTTGCAGCAGCTGTGCTGGGCTGAGGCAAGTGCAAGGCGGTGTTCAGCCTGGAACTGGCTTCATGCATCTGGGGCCTTGAGGTCCCTCTTTGCAGGTTGTGTTAACTGTCCCGTTAGCAGCTCTCAGAGATGATGTTTTTGACCTGTGTTTTCAAGAGAACCATACAGAACAGCTGTCCCAAAGCTGTTCCCCCTGGGGCTGCCTTTCTTCCATAGCCCAGGCACCCACTTCTTCAGATTCATAAGCCATGCCCTCTAGGACCTATCACTCAAAGTGTGGCTTTCTGTGCCAGTGGGACAGAAATCGGAAAAACAGCATTTAGAAACTGTTACAGCCATTTAACATAACTCTAAATTAATTTTATTAATGAAATATAATTTTTCCAATCTAATAAAGGATTGGACATGTATTTTGTATACCTTTGTTATTGAATTAGTTGTTTTATTTGTATTGTATTATATAGAAGTATCAGGATGGACTGAAACTAAAAACAAGTTAGCAAACAATTCCAAATTCATTGGTCTTCTCCACAGAGAGTTTGAGAAGCACTGCTTCTTCGTCATAACTGTGAAGTAGATTTGTTTCAAGTCTTTGCTGTCCATTCCTTCATAGCCTCTTGAAAAAAAATTCTCATTACCTGAGGTGCCCAAGTCTGTGCAACCTTTCCTGGCCCCAGACACTTTGGAGAAGTGATCTTTGGAGATGAGGATTTGGAGATGAGAATTTCCCTCCCTTGTAACCCACCATGCTCTGCTCTTGATTTCTTTCGGGTGATAGTTTAATTAACTCAGTAAATGAATCTGCTAACAATTATGGTGAAACTATGGCAGCTTTGACAGTTGGAGTAGGGCAAGAACATTGGGGTGCTGTATGAAGATATTATGTCCAAAGTTTCCAGGAAGATGTAAGTCCTACTGCAGATTATAGCCAATGCTCTCATGAGGTCCTTAAAATGAATGAGTTTAAGAGCAATTGCAAACGAAAACAAAGTACCCTCCAGTCAGAGCTGGGTATTAAGGCTTTGGACTTAACTCAGTATGGAGAAACTGAGAAAGCTGGATTGGGGCATATGGAGCACTGACTTTTCCTGAGTTCCTGAAATTTAAATTCTCCAGAAAACTGCATCATGACCTCCCCTTGGTGGAATGATGGTGATGAAAGTGGGATAAAAGGAAGTTTGTCTTACCTTATTCTATCTCAACTTTTAATCAGATGTATTTTGCATATAAATTATCTTCCTTTATTTGATATGAAGATATTTTCCAATCCATCATTATTGAGTTAAGCAACACAATTGTAGTTTAAACTTTGCCCCCCTTCATCCCTCTCCAAGTCAACTATGAAATAACTGCAGTGGATGAGCACTGCCATGAATTCAGGATCTTGACATAAGGATTGACTTCAGGAAAGCACCTCAAGAATCTGACAAATGAGGGGTCTCAGTACTTCTAGAGCTGCCTGCCTGTTCACCCAGTGTTCCCATCTCAACTTTTTCTCTAGGCCTCAGCTACTCTTTGGTGACATCTCTTCTCTTTCTATTCTTCAGGATGGCCTTTGACACTCATTTTCAGAGTTCAAATATTGTAGGAGGGTGGGGAAAGTCCCCGTAAAGTGATTGGATCCAAGGCATATCACTCACACTGTCTGCAATGTTTGCCCTAAGAGATTTATACATATGAGAACCCTGCTGGCAGTGATGACTGCCAAGGGAAGGCCTGCAGTTGACACCTTTCTCCCAGACTCTGGGCTTATTAGGATACTGGTGTTGCAAAAAGGAAGGTGAGGACTACAGGAGTGTAGTAGTGTTTTAGGGAGACAACAAGGGTAAATTGTAGGCCAAAATAAGGGGAAAATGGCAAGGAGAGGTAATAAAAACCAGAAGAAAGGTGGAGGCAGGAAGGAAAGAAAGTAAAGAAATATTGTTGAGTGAAGAAGCAAAGGATCTGTTGGGGATGGAAGGTCTTACGATGGACCACTTCCATTACAGTTGAATGTCTCAGATACTGTGATGTGTCCTATGCCAGCTATCATACAATCTCCATAATAGAATAGGAGGTTGTTAAGAGGAGCGAGTTTATTACGGTAAAGCATTTGAATTGCTTAAGCCAATTGTAATAGTTTTATGAAATAAAGTCACAGCAGGCAAAATAGCAGGTATTTTAAAGGGAAAAATCAGTTCAACAGAAAGCACATTGATTTCTATAAGCATGCTAGAACTTAATAAATATTATTTATTCATAGTTTTTCATTGAGAATGAATTAAAGTAGAAATTGGCACATAGTTCTGTATTAGTTACTTTTGCACCACTGTGATCCAATGCTTAAGAAAGCAACTTAAAGGGAGGAAGGATTTCTTTTGGCACAGTTTCAGAGGGTTCAGTTTGTGGTTGCTTGGTCCCATACATTGGGGAAGAGCATCATGGCAGTGGGAGCTTCTTCACTTCATGGTGGACAGAAGACAGAGCGCAAGGAAGGGACCGGGGACCAGGCATAACCTTCATCCTACTTCCTCCAACTAGATCTCACTTGGGAGGTTTATAGAGCCTCCTAAATGATCACCAGCATCTGGGGACCAAATGTTTAACATGGGAGCCTGTGGAGGCATTTTATATTCAAACAATAACAAGTTCTA